ATCGAAATAGCAGAAAACAGCAAGGCCCTTGCAGTAACACTTTGACGTCAGTGCTGCTTGTACAAGCTTATACGATAAGCATTGTATTTATGAGGGCATGTTTGTATGCAATAGTGTGCAGACAGAAAATAAAAACCTGAGAAAAATATTTTTCCTCATTTGCTTTATAAATAAATGAGACTTTTTTAATTAAAAAAAAAAATCAGGGTTAAGTAGAGAATCGAGGAAATGTAAGGGAGAAAACTGGTTCTCCTAAGGACCACGATCATAGTTTTGCATCTGTATAGCTTTAGTTGTTTCACAGTTTTTCTAAGTTTAGTGTAAGTAATTTTGACCTGCATTATCACAGAGTGATTATAGGGAAAACGTGCTTGATTTTTGAATGGTGTGGAGGTGTTATAGGCAGATAGAAGAAGGCAAGGTACAAAGGAAGAATAGGTTAGGAAGGGGACTGACAAGTAACGAAGGATGCGGAGACAGCAGACATGGCATGAAACTTCATCAGAAACATAAGCAAGAGCCAAAGTAAACAAAATTCTGAGCATGGACTTGGGTGGGTTTGTGACCTGGGCCTTTGTGGTGCTATATCTGTCCTGTTATGACAAAACCAAAGTCAGCAAAGGCACTCAAACTATAATTCCGCTGATTTAAAAGCTAGGGGTCTGGGTGTATTTTTATACTAACTAGGCAGATGCTTTGGAGGGTTTTCAGATTATTATTTTTTCTTTCCCTCTTTTCCAAAACAGTCTATTGTTGCTAAAACCTGACTTGTCAACTTACCAGTGGTTAATGAATTACTAAGGGAAGTGCTGATGTCTGGAGATGCTGACAGGTTCTCTGTTGGATATTTTTTGTTCATTCCTTCAGTTTGTTTCTTTCCCGTTTTCATGGTTTTAAGAGAATATATCTGCGTATATATTTAGTATAGATCCAACTTAGAGCAAGGTCTGACAACTGAAGAACAATGGGACCTTTTCTTTTGTTTACTAGCCTTCTTCACAAACCCATTTCCACAGGTAACATTTCCAACTTGAAGCTCAAGTTATTGTGGATGTCTTTGAGTAACTTCCCCAGTTTAGGCCAGGGAAACAAATGTGGCACAAGTGCAGCAGGTTTCCATTTAATTCCAGCTGTTAACTTTTGACTTTCTAAAATAATACATACTTTTGGCATACATCAAACTTGCTTATATGCTGTATTTGATTAAAGTAAAGAAAATAATTTACCTTTCCAGACAACATAACCTGCGTGATTCTGGCAGAGAAATATATATACACATACACACGCACTCGCTCTGTTTTTAAAAAATTGGTGATTATATATATACTAACTTATATGTATTAAAATTATGTTGGTATACTTTTTTGTGTGTATTCAACTAATGTAGTTAAGGAGGTACACCAATCGTGCGTACATGGATCATCGCTTACACAGAAAGTGGTTGCAACATAACAGGTAGATGCGTATAACCACTGTTGGCAAATGCTGTGTTTTTAACAGGGATTGCTGCACAAGCTCCTGAAAATTATTTTAGAGTTATTACATTAATTTTGTTCTTGTCTGCACAAATAGAGGGTGTCAGCAGTCCTTACACTACCCGTAAATTGATATTCCTAGCCAAGAGAAATGCAGTATATAATGGTAGAGTGGTAGTAAACAGCATTAACTTCATGATACATCATCCCAAGTAGTCCAAAACCCCCAAAGGTGTCTCCAGAACAAGTCTCGTTGAAACATTGCGTCAAATTTTTTTTCTATTTTACACTTCATACATTTTTTTTAAAGGAAAGGGGAAAAAAAAACCACAAAGCATTATGCCTGTTTATTCTGTATCTACATTTTCTTCTCAAGAATTAGTTCATTACAATCGCCAAGTTGTTTTTAAGTCTTTATGAACTGTTAAAGCACTTACTGTCAGTGAGAGAAATTGCAAATGCGTGTATAGTGTAAGAAACTGATGATTAAATCCCTCACATTGAAATTGTTCTGGAAAGGTTAATTAGAAACACTAAGAATACAAGAAGAACATCCTCTCTTCATACTCTTTTTTTCGACTGAGCTCCTACAGCCTCCTTTTCCATTTTTATTTTTATTTCTTAGAATTGTTCGTTATCAGCTAAAAGCCCCGAAGTGTTCTGCTGCCCACTGGGTCTGTGTCCCAGCTGTGTTCAGCTTTCCCTGGACCCTGGAAGGCTTCCTGTTTTCATTGCTCAGGAATTTTAAGATGATGTAAAATTTTTGTATCACATATGTATGATTTCCTTTGGGATATAAATTCCTACACAAATACATATTATTCCATGTCAACTTTTTGGTTTTGTGATTTGGTGGGTTTTTGTGTGGTGTTTTTTTTTTTTTTTTTCTTTTTTTCATTTGTGTAGGCGACTTACACAGAGTACAATCCTCTTAGTAAAGCTCTTAGGAAAGCTTTAATTCAGAAGATGATTTAGCCTGATGTTTCTAAAGCTGTTACAACATTTATGGACTATGCTGTAAAACTTCTCAGTGTAGTGAAAAGCTCTAATATATTGAATGTGGTGATGACAGCACAATATACAAACCTACCCCCCTTTTCTGTTTTGGCCCTGTGACATGCTGCTTTGGTTTACCAAAGAGGGGACAAAAGAAAATATTTTACATGGAGGTAGGCTGTTGTAAACAGATGCTAGGCGGTGTGTTGTGCCTGAGACAGAGTCTCCTAGAAAGTGATTGTGGAGGATGTTCTATGACGCCTGCAGCAGTTTCTCTTAAAAATAGTTTGCTTAAGAGGAAAAAAAAAAAACAGGGGGTGGGGTGAGGTGGGGAATAGTCTCTTCGAATGGATGTGTCTGCACAGTTGTGTCCCTGAGTGATTGCTTGAGTGCCGGGAGGTCCTTCTCGCAGTGGGGGGAGCAGGGGCTGTGTGGTGCAGGCTGGCCGAGGAGCCGTGCTGGGCGCGATGCTGGCCCGCTGCAGATGGTCTTGTTGGGGCTCAAGGGCAGCATCGGTGTCTGTCTGCATCCTTCCTTGCCTTCAGATCTCAGCACCCTGAGGTTACGGGGACCGTAGGCAGAACACCTTGTAGCGTTGAAGTCAGTGGCTGTTTTGTTACTGACTAAGGTAACCTTGTCTTTAGTCAAAAATACCTCTTTCCTTTCCATTTTGCTTCCCAAACCCCTGTTCTTAGAACCAATAAGAAACTGCATGTGCAACTATGTATAGACCTTAGCCACTTCATGGGTGTGTAGGTACACCTGTATACACACACGTGCACATGGGCTTCTCCTATATTTGGTTCTGACTTTAGGCAACTGTTTGAAAATGTAGATTCAGATAATAATGTACCAAATACCATAAAACCAGTGTTCTAGCCTATCACCCTTAGCATATATATTTACCAAGATGCAAAATAATAAGCATTTTAGACACTTTACTACTTCCAGCTCTGACCCTATTACCACTGGGCGGTTTGTTTGGCCTGTTTGCTTCTCCGATTAGTTTCAAGTCTTACAAAACCTGAAAATTCACATGGCATGAGAGCTTTAAAAAATGACGAGGTACTACCAGTGGTGCATGGTAAACCCCTGTCCTTAAACCCTTTGCACTGTTCAGACATAGTCATAGATATGTTTACTTCTTTTATGTTTACCTCTCCAGCTATATTTTCATTCAAATATTTATTCACAGCTGCATAATAAATACAATTTGATTTGTACCTAATTGTAGTAACTGATTTTCATTATTTATGAAAGTCATGTCAGAATTCATTTATGGTCCTGCCTGTGAGGAAACTTATAATGACAACTTCATATGACTGCAGCAATAAAATAATTAACTGGCTCTCTTAAAACAAGTCAATGGCCAGGGCATTAACTCATAATATTTCAGGAATTATTTACACTTCTGTATTCACACGTGCAATTCTATTACTTTCTGATTGATAGGATTCTGTTCTTGTTGTATTACAAGCTTTAATTATCTTACTAACATATTTCTATGTTAAATGACTAACTTTGGAGAAATCAGGATGCCTGTCGGATTCAAAAACTGAATGTGTGTTCTAATTTGTTCCCAGAACTATGAAATAACTGTGGGCTAGGGTGGAAAAGCGTTATGGGTATAGGCATGCAAATGAGCTTGCCAAGTGTCTATATATCATAAAATGTCTTAAATCTATGGACATAAAAGTAGGATGAAGACACAGCCATTAAAAAGGCAGTCATTTTTGAGTGTCACATAACTTAGACACTTTAAGATATTGAAGTGTCATGAGTTTATTGCACCTAATTTATTAATACAATCATTTGGGATTCACTTATGTCTCTTGCTCTGCCCCAAAACAGAGGCTAAAAGTCTATTGAAAATGCACAGGCTCTGCTTCAGCAGTAAAAGCCTAAATTGTTTCCCAAAACACAGAGACATGAAAAATAACAACTGTACTGTAGTCCTTGCAGGTAACGGGTGGCCGTGTGCCTGGTTGTTTTTATTTGTGTCTTAAAGTGGGGCAGAGAGATCCAATAAAGACCAAGTGAGTTTGGTTCCCATTTAATTTTTCCATTGCCACATTAGGTGACATCTGTATGGGGAAAATAGCCTGTTGCTTTGGCCTCTAACAAGGACCAAAAAACCCCCCCAAACTGGTAATCCTGACAAATACCTTGTTACTGCTTTTGTGCTTTGAAAAAGAAAAAACAAAAAGAAAAAAAAAGTTTGTCATTTATTTTTAATCCTTTCATGTACTGAATTGGCTTTTCTTAGTCTGCAGGTTCTGTTATGTTTCTTTCCCACCCAGCAGCACTTTTGATATGTTTAAGCAGTTGACAATACAATGCTAAGGTGTAGTATGAAGGAAAAGGGGCACCGCAGAGAGCTGGAGACAAAAGAATCCACTTGATTGTAATACATGCGGAGTTTTGTCATACCTGAGACAATTATACACATGACCAGTTTTTACTTTTAGGTTCTTTTTTTAAAAAAAGAAAAAATTCTCACCTTTTGTTATCTTTTTTTCCCCTAATCAGGACAGAATTTTACCCTAAGGCAGTTAGGAGTTTGTGAACCAGCAACTCGTCGAGGACTGGCATTTTGTGCGGAAATGGGGCTCCCCCACAGAGGTTACTCTATCAGTGCAGGGTCAGATGCTGATACTGAAAATGAAGGAGTGATGTCTCCAGAGCATGCCATGAGACTTTGGGGCAGGGGGGTCAAATCAGGGCGCAGTTCCTGTCTGTCGAGCCGTTCCAACTCAGCCCTCACTCTGACTGATACCGAACATGAAAACAAGTCCGACAGTGAAAATGGTAAGTTTTTACACATATGCCAGTATGTAAATCAATGTTTTATTTGCTGTTTTGGTTGACACGCAATATTTTTCAATCATTAAAGGAACGGCCTTGATTTATTTACCTTTTTTTTTTTTTTCTCCTCTTCCCAGAGAAGTAAATATTCAGTATCGGTCCTAACTAATGCAGGCTTTGGGTGTGATGTTTTAGCTGTAATTTTGAAAGAGTTTAATCACAAAAAAGATTAGCTCTGTTTTATCTCAGGCCATGTCACCTGTTACCCTTTGGGGAACAGCTAAGTAAGTGATGATAAAGTTGATCCCCAAGGCCAGCTTGCAAGCAAAGGTTTCATTGTAAACTTTTCTTCAAGACATCTTGGAGAAGTTGCAGAATCTTAGAATGGATGAATGAACGCAAAGAATAGCTTATTAACAGGGCTTATGTAATTCAAAAACAAATTTGATTGTGCTTTAAACTTCCTAGTTGATGAGAGCAATTGGAATTGTGGTGAAGAGGGACGCGTGGCCTTTGATGTGCCTGGGGGACTGGATTACTGTGCAATTAAAATCTGCAAAAAAAATCTAAACAGCAGCTTTGTAGGATGGGAGGTATGACCATTGTATATTAACGCTTAGCGTTTAAATGGAAAAAGGTTAATACAATTGACTGATTCATTTTCAAAGCTTTTCAAATTTTTTTACCTCTACTTGAGGTTATGAACAGAACCTAGTGTGGTGTTAAAAGCTAAATGCACAAATCTTAGAAAACATTTTAATTTCTTTTTATTTGCAGAAGACTTTTAGCTTTACTAGAATTAAAATGATTGTTCTTTTAACTTCAGGACTTTCTATATGACAAATTCAAAAAGGGAATAAAGAAAAATGAGTAAAAAAGAAAATTAGTGATGGCTATTGCCTGCATGTCTGCATGTCATCTTATTAATTAATGAAACCTGTCTGCTCAACTGTACAAAAGTCAGAGCAATTATATTTCTGTTTTCTGGCAAAGCTGTAACACATCGTGGGAAACAGCAATGTAGGTGGGTATGTATGGTCATCTTTTTTTTTTAAAAAAAAGCACTTTTATTTTAAACTACAAGCAATAATGTTTAGCCCTACCTATTTATTATTTTAACTTCAGTTTGAGAAGACAAAACCAAAGCTATCTTTTGGTATTATTCATACTGGTTGTCTTTCCTCTGGTGGCTGGTTCTAACTGAAGATGCCTGTGCAAGATGGCTGTCTCAGATGAGGTCCTCCTTTTTGTGTTGGACTTAATGCTGTGTCGTACCTGAGGAGACAGCTCTCGGTGTTCACAGGTGTCTTGTCCCATGCTTGGAAAACTTGTTCTGAGGCGGAGGCAAGTTTTGAAAGAGGAGGACACGAGTACTTGCCTACCTCCTTTCAGCAGGGGAGTTTCTGTTGGATGACGCTTGATATTTCAACTGCAAAGCAATCTAGAATAAATTGTTGAGCAGTCCAGTGATTTTTCCTTTTGAAGGGTCTATGCTGAAATGGATTCTCTTGAGTCTTTTGTAGAACCCTAGGTTAATGGTCTTGAAAATACATATTTATGTATACACATGCATGCACACACACAACTTTCTTAGAGAGTTGTATCTTTACATTACCAAAGAGGTGACTGCTTTAGAAGTACAATAGGTTTGCTATACATTTTTATAAACTTTATACTTACTATTTAAAAAAAATATAAAAATGCCTGATTATAATATGCCAAAAACTTCCTCCATGAGCTTAAAGTTAGAGTTTTATTTTATTTTTTCATATGTGAGAAGACTCTGAATATGTTAGAAAAGACGTTATTCTGCACTGGTTAAAATTATGCAAGGAACGTCTGATGTTTGATATAACTTCAAAGATGAGTTTAGTCACTAAAAAGGATTACAGTTGATTTATTTATTGATAGGGAGGCCAGCAGTCCACCTTAAGAAGTTACTGGGACTGCTGTGAGGCTGATGAAATTTTGATGGCTTGAGAATCCCCTAGGGTTATGAAACACATAACTCGGACTGTGTCATGGGTCACCATTTCAGTGGAGATGTTACAGAAGTGGTGAAAAGCTTAATCTTCTTTGGTATTTTTCCTCTGAATTTTTGTTTCGACTGAATGTGGAAGGTTTGGCTGAGAAATGATTTTATACACATAGTTGGAACTCAGTATGTTAAATGCTCACAGTAGAATAGAAAATATAATTTAAAGCCAGGGAAGCCGTATTGTCCTGGCAGGCACAGGTGCTCTCATCAAAGGACCAAACTGCAGGTGTGAGTTTTGTTAATTTATGGCTTGAAGTTAATAACTGTGCCAGTATGCTGTTAAAATCTGACAAATCTGATAAGGCTTTGAAACTAAAGTTAGAGTTATGATGAGTCCGCTCTACTGCATCCCCCTTTGCTGTCTGTGAAAGCTTCCTGACTGAATTTTGATGGAACTGTTTTACAGGTAAATGCATTTCTATGCAGCACATTTACCTCTAAGGTGGATAAGGAGCAACAGGTTATAATGAGCAAAATACACGACCAGATCATAGTTTCCTCACCTAAAGGCCTCAGTTCTTGAGTGATCCCACTGTTCATCCAGTAAAACTATTCACTGTTTAAATAGGCCATTACCATAAGCAGACCTTATTGGAATTAATGGGATTACTCATGATGATGAGAACTGTGACTTATTTTACAGGTTTATGAACTCCGGATTAAGCATTTGTTGAATGGACTTGGGGTTTTCTTTCTTGCCAGTTAGGCAAGAAGAGAAGCTTGGCATCAAGACACGATTTCTTTTCCTTCCTTGTAACTGATGTGTGTATTTGCTCTTCTGAAATAGTTGTGGGTTGCATATCCCTCAGGAAGGCAAAACTGGGTTCTGTTGCATGATTACATTGAATAAGTGGAAATAGTTTGTTGAAGGTATGAACTTTTCTTTGTCGAGGACTCAACGTTGTGTTTCTAAGATCCTACAAAAGCAACCTAAATTTGTGAATAATATTGGCAGGATTAGAAGTTTCTTTAAACAAATAACATTGCACACGATTAAGTTGCAAAATTTTAAATGGACTAATAACATAGCAGGAATTCCAGCAGATTTTTATTTTTTTTAAAAAAAAAATCAGAACTGTTCATCAAACATAGGGTTTATAGACATATTCTCACATCAAAGTTTTAGATTACTGCTCAGTAAATCATTCTGAAGAGAAATATTTTTCTTTGAGCTGATTCAAGTTCCATATATGACTCTTGGCATCATATTCTGAGAGATTTGTCATGTCAGCCTCCCTGAAGGAGGACCTGCATCTGTTAATCTGGGCAACCTCCCGGTGTCACGTACAGTATGATGTATCAGTTGGAGCACACCGTGCACGCATGTGCTTCTCCAGGCTTTCTTCTCCATTCCCATTACAAGTTACTTCATAAATGCTGCAAGAAACTTATGTTAGTAATTGTTCTAGGAGCTGTGCTTTGAAATACAAGCAGCTCATCATTTACATGCTTGCCAGTAACTTTATGCTGTTAAGCTGTTCTAAGATTACTAAAGCTTGTCTTTTAAACTAGATAAATATTCCAGCAGAGCATGAGCTAGAAGTTGTAGTTAGGCTTCAGACGGCCCTTTTGCTTAAAGGGTCAATATATTTATAAGGTATCTTAGAATCCACTTATTTATTTAAATTATTTTTAAATCCATTAAACTACAATCCCTGACTTCATGAGACATCAGAAAGCTAATAAGCAAAATGTGAAAGCTAATTGAGGAAGTTATTGCTAAAGTCCACCTCCTTATGGAGTTGTTTATTTATTTATTGTGAAGTTATATAACCAGTTTTGTATGCACTTTTTGTGCCGGCCTGAAACGCAGGTTGTGTCAATGATTGTGATTGGAAAGTCACTCATTTAAGACTTAAGCAAGTCCATGTCATGTTCTGTCCCTTTAGATGAGGTATTGACAGTGCTGCTGAAAAAGAGTTGGGTGCTCCGGGTAGACGTGTGCCATATAGTTGTTTCTGCCCACAGCCATAAAGACTAGCTGGGCGTGCAGAAAATAGTTCTAGATGGCACTAGAATGTGGGGATTTATTGTCTTATTTAGTGAAACTTTTGCGCTGATGGAGGTTTGTTAGAAGACCAGAGGAGATCAGGATGTAGCAAAATAAAAAGAAGAAAGGGAGAGAGGAGTATGAGATCATTGCCTCAGGCAGTAGTTCTGAATTGGTTAAATAAATGCTTTGAAACTTGGACCCATTTTTCACAGATACAGAAAAGCAGATATTGCTGGTAGAATGTTCATTACTGAGGATTTCTGTAAAGAGAAAATACCAGTTTATCAGCTGCATGGGCACCTGCTTGCTTCCTCTACAACTTCAGACAGTTTCTGAAGATAGCATTCTTGTGAACCTAATACTCTCTTGTCCTTCCAGAATGGTGAATTTACTGGCATTCAGATCTCTGAAAACCAAGAAATACATTGGTAAGATACTTGTCAAGACATTTTAAATCTGTTCTCTCTAACCCAGTACATCTATAACATATACTTGAACTCTGCATTCTTAAATAATGCACATCATTCAGGAAGTAGTGTTACACATTTTCACCTGTTTAACAGCCTTTTTTATGCTAAGGCAGAATTTGACTTAGGTGAACTCTGCTGAATAGGAGCTGCTTGGTACCTGCTAGCCGAATGCTGAGCCTACTGATCAAAACCAGCCACATAGCTGATGAATTAATATTCATCTTACTGCCATACCACCATTTACACCTTCTTCACTCTTCCCACAGTATTCCATCTAGCAATTATCTACCCCTCATTAAGCATGCCAATATCTCTTAAATCCTGCTTTGCTGCTAAGAAATTTCATGACCAAGAAATCAGTCTGTTTTATTGTTGACAGAAGTCAGCTCTGAACTAATATTTAATACCTAAACAGGCATACAAATTTTTCTTTGGTTACAGACACATGGAACAGAAATCCATACTCAAAAGCAGTCATCCCTGGTTTTCTGCAATATTATCTCAAGTCTTCTGTAGTTATGCCAGTTTTCTGATTCTGTTATATTGTAAGTGTAATTATGTGGATATATTTCAATAAATCTTCTTAGCGTTCACTGTTAATACAGTTGAAAATCACGTTGATAATTCCTTTGGCTAGTGATAGCCAAAGAGCTAACAGCTGGGCTGACCTTTTTCTGGTAACTTTTAGGGATCTCCTGGATTTCAGAGGTTTGAGTGTCACTGAAGTTGCTGTTGAGGAAGGGCATGAGATTCCAAAGGGCCATCTTAATGATGCTTTCATGATGGGAGTCTGGTACAGAACGTCAGGCCAGAGGATGAGGCTCTTTGGAAACACTTAACCAAATCTTCTGACGCACAGGAACTGTAGGCTTAACAACAGCTGACAGCAATAAAATTAGAATTGGGGTCTGCAAGGAAAGACAAATCTAAGAGGAAAATTTGAGAGAATTCACTCTTGGCTGTTAAGCTTATAAATCCTTCTAATGTTAAGGAGCGATTAAAGAGGTGTTTAAAGACCAACTGTTGTAGCTCAGGTTTTCTCCTGAGATCTGGATTTCAAGAAAGAACCATGCAGAAAATGGAAGCAACGTC